ATATTTCGATTTTAAACAACCATAATTTTAAATTTTCCTAGCACTAGAAGAAATCACATTGGGCCGATGCGTCTGCTTCTGAGGACGTTCCTTGGCATCATAGATAGAGAGACTAAAAGAAGGTACGAAGTGAGACTCGCACGTGCAATGTGGCCAGAATAATGTGGCCGCGTAGGACGAGAAGAGCAAGAGGGCGTAAATGGGATATAGTAGGCTGATTTCAGCATAAATGATGTCAGTGGCCACAAGGGATATATGTCGTAGAGGTCAGGATATTGCGGAGGTGTAGGAAGTTGAACATGTTTTTCGTCATGCCCGGGAAGTCTTTTACGAGGCTTTTGAGATTCGCCAAAGAAGTTGGTTGTTTAATTTAGGTGATCTTTGGGATTGGATTTCATGGGAGTTCGAGGATTGCCGACGGGCCTTATTTTTGGCCTAGTACTTCGCATGGATGGCCAGGTGGGGTTCCCCTCCCTTACTACTATTACTAATACTACTAGTAACATTTGACATGAAAAATTTTGTAAATTTCGGTTTTACTCAAAATTTTAAGTGAATTTCAAAAGAAATTCTATTAACAGTGCTGAGAAAGAATTCTCTCCACTCTAGTTGTTCTTATTTCTCATTTATTTATTTCTTTTAATAATTACAAAATTTTCTCCATAATTATTTTTATTTTATCGTAATTTTTATTTTAAAAATAAATTGAGAGCATGAATTAAGGTCGATATTAGTTAATTATTTACCCTACTTTTTTAAATAATTTTGCTCTCATATAATATAGAATGACGAGAAAACATACTATATGAGTCAAAAATGTCTGTGCTTGACGTTTACATAACGTGCACCAGAATTGCACATACAATATCTGATATGAATGACAGGTTTTTATTATAATGTCTTCTTTATTAGGGTAGTGTGGCGAACGTATATTGTGAAAATGCTGATTTGTAATATTATATTATTGCTATAAATTGGAACCCTGAAGAAAAATATTGTATTTATTAAATATTACGATTTTTAGAATTATATACAATTTAAATTTATTTAAAATAAATGATTTTTTATTATTGTGCCATATAATTAGTATTATGTGTTATTAAAAGAGAAAATAATGGATATTTCCGACCCATTTATTATGGGATAGACCCATATATTGTATAATAATTTACTTAAAGTAGTCTACATATTGCAATTTTAAATGATATTGGTTTTTTCGGCTTTAATTGAGATTTCAATTAAAAAAAAATTTCAAAATTTTTTTCTAGAATTATAAAACTTCTAAAATTTTGTGCATTTATTATCTAAATCTAAAACGATTTGTGAAGATTTCTACAATTCATTCGTTAATTAACTCTGAAATAAAACAGCAATTCTGAAGTTCCAAAAATTCCATTAAATGTTTTTCTTATAAAAAATTATCCAAATACCAGCTATTCTAAATTTGAATTCTAATTTGAAAATATATTCTAAAACTTTTACAATTACACTGCAATTATTTTTATATTTTTGAAATTTCTTTAAGGAAACAATCTCAAACTTTAATAACAAAGAAGAAACAACATGTTCTATTTTTTCATTGAGGGAAAAATTTTTAACTTATTTCTTAAATTGATTACTAGCTATAACCTAAATTTCGTAAAAGTATTAATAGGCAATTTAAAATATTATTTTCATCATAACCCAAATGTGTTTTAATAAATTGCATACAAAACTCTTGTTATTCATATTTATGCAAAAAATCAGTTCTATATATGTATAATAAATTGAAGCTGATAAATTAGTGCCAAAAAAAATTTGTTTTGTTGGAAAATTGAAACAAAACTTTATTGTTTACATTACAAAAGGAATGTTATGTAAATGTAATTAATCATATAAAGTGCCTTTATTGAATATTGTAGAAAAATTAGAGCAGAGAATACATAAATAAAAAAAAAAAATTTATGAAATTTTGAAATTGAATATACTTTTCCTGAAGAAAGGAAGAACAATAATCTTACCTATTAAAATTTACAAAAAAAAAAATTAATTTCCTGTAAAAAATAAAAATAGAGGTGAATACAGTAGAGTCCCTGACTGTCTTTGACATCGGAATTGTAATTGGCATTTACGAGTATAAGCTGAATTTTGCATTGAAACAGTATTATTACATTTCAAATCTCAGGCAATATTAAAAAAGTACTTTCCACTAATGAAAAATATCTAGTGTTAATTAAAATTCAAAATGTAAAAATGGAATTTTGAAACACATAAATATTGCTTATTATTTCTAATTAGCATATTAAATAAAGCTAAGATAATAAGCATAAAGCTAATTCTGGTACGTATATTGAACTCTACAAGAAAAATCACAGTGTTTATCCCAATTATTTATTTTGCATATATAGCAAAAATCACTTTCATAACAGTAGAGATACCATCGTTTTGTCTTCAATTAATTGAAGCAACAAGTCATACTCGATTAATTAAAATGATAGAAAAGCAAATTTTTATTTCGAAAATAAAATTTTTGATTTGATTTTGAATTTAATTTTCTAAGATTTACTCTAAATAAAAACAAAATTACTCACATATTAAATAATTTCACCAATTACAACTCAAAATTTCCTAAATATTGAGTTATGAATGCTGTTAATATTAAGTTATAATTGTAAATTTTTATTTTGGGAAATTATTTTCTTGTAGCGAAAAACATTAACATGTACTTTTTATTTCCCTGAAAAAATTTTCTCTTTTAATGTTCTTAATCCCACCACAAAATGGCTTCAATTAATTTAGGGACCTAGTTCAATTAATTTAATCAAAATTTTAATAGAATTTTAAATTATTATGGAAAAAATCTTTAAATTTTTTGATATTTTGAGTTTGAAATTTGCAAAATTGAAAAAATGTTAATTTTAAAATTCAACCAATGGGAAAATATTATTTTTTTTTTGTTATACACATTCTCTATAAAGTAAAATAATATGATAAGTTAATCAACTTGATTGGCTTTTATGTAAAATGTTATCAATATGTACCTATATATAATATGTGTGTATAACATTTCATACATAGTATAAGATTTAAAAAAAAAAACTTGTTTTTCACATTACTGTTATCAATGATTGCTGTATATAAAATAAAATTTTTAATATATTTTATAAAAAACACTAAGGTAATTGAAAACTACGTATAAAAAAAAATCTTTGAAAATTTTACGGAAAACTTAAAAAAAAAAATTTTTAAAACTTTCAATTTACAAAGAATAAAAATTAAATTTTCCTGAAGATATTTTTAAGAGAAGCTACTCAATATATGCTTCTTCACAACATTATACAAAATGCACATGAAAAATTTTTCATGTTAAAAGGAAATCTATAACGTATTTATTACAGTTGTAATATTGAGAAATGAAAAATCCATATCACATTTACGTATACATGCATATATTGCACTTTATATGGGAAAATCTTTCACATTAATTTGATGGTTTATGCATGTACTTTTAAATTAAATGTACGTCTTATACTTTTGCTAGCAAAAAAGATGTCCGTTGAACCAAGTACATTAAGTAGAATTTGTGGACATGTAAGCATGTTCCAAAATAATTCTCCAAAATAAATTTTAAAGTATTGCTTTTTTAAAAAAAAAATCTCACATAAAATTTGAAAAAAGAGCAATTTTAAATATTCTCAGCTTACGAGTATATGCAGGAGTTTTTTACTTATGGTATGAATTAATATTCTACATTTTTGTAGATTACTGTAAAGACTAATTTGCCGGCAATTTCTTCATACCTCTGTAGCTGAATTGGTTGAGCTTCCGCTTAGAAAGCGGTAGATCACTGGTTTAGGTTCAGTTTGAGACGAAAAATTTTTTAATTTTTAAACATTGACTCGTTCTTCTGATTACGTCTGATACCATCTGCTCTGCAGTTGTATGAAGGAATTTCCATTAGTTCTTCTCATAAGAAATTAATAATAAAGATAAATAACTGCACGTTGGATTGTTAATTTGTTATAATATTCTTCATGTTTACAAAAGTATTACCATATTATGTAATTTAATATATATACATAAAATGCAATACCTGTACAATATCTTAAAAAAAATGGGTAAACTAGACTATGGTAAATAATTTTATGTCTATATTAAGCTAATATTAAGATTTTAAATCAGCAATATGATGATTTAATAAAAAGAAATTGCAAAAATATGAATTATTAGAAAAATTACTAGCTATACTAGGTATTTAGCCATTGAACAAAATACATACGAAAGTAATTTTTAAAATATTTTTGCTTTTATCGTGTAATTCAGCGAAAATTTTATATTCTTCACAAAAGCTTTAAACCCCAAAAGACTATCATAGACTACAACCCCAAATATGTAAATGATTTTTTTTGAAATCATATTAAAATATAAAAATCCCAGATTTAAATTCTACATTGCATTCTAGTCTTGTAAGCTTAAATTTATTTCTTTAACCTAATTATTTTACAGTTTAGTACAGTTACTATAAACTCATTGTACTGCATATTGCAATTACCAAAACAAAATTTCTTAAAAATATTTGGAAAAAAATTCTTATCCCAATTTTTTTTTTTATTAAAATTAATATCTTAAAACAACAAAACGTATAAAATTTATCCTTCATTATTATAATAATATAATATTATTATACCGTTTATTATTATTGTTATTTTCATATAAGAAAATATAACATTATTATAAATTTTCTCACATATAAGATAAAACGGATACAAGTATAAGAATATAACAAAGAAAATGAAAAGAGAAACAATAACAATATACAAAAATAGAGATAATGTTCCAATTCATAAAATAATGCCTTTTCATTCTGCATATTATACACAATACATATCATACTGTTATACACGTTTATATATATGTATAAATTTTAATAATATATTCTCTTATACAATATTTACTTAAATACAATTTTCATATTATATAAGTATATAATAAAATATAATGTATATAGAATAAAAACTTACATCAATTCTGAAACCGTGCATTCCAAATACTTTCATAGCTGGATTCTCTTTTGGTGTATAACGATAAAATTCTCTACCTTTTTTATACCATTTAACAGCATATAAGCTATCACCTTCCATATCATACATGCACTTAAGTAGAGCTTTTTCACCTTTTCTCACTGCATGCGGCATTCTAACTTTAACATCCCGTAGTGCTTCAACCATAACTGGAAATATAAAAATAAAATAATATTATTATTATACACATATTTATAAATATTATATAGAGAGAAAAGAGATAATAGGATTTAGAAATAGGTATATTATGAAACGAGATTGAATAATATTTGAAATAAACAAGAAAAATGAAAATTTTTTAAATATTGCGAAAAATTGCGAAAAAAAATTTTACTTAAATTTTGTTCCATTTATTATAAGGATCTGAGTTTACAAAACTCACTTCTTTCTATATACAAGCAATATTGTAAATTAAAAAATTAAATTACATTAATGGTAAGTTTGTAATAAGTTTTTTGAAAAAATTTTGAAAATTTTCTTTATAGAAACTTTTTATAAAATTTTCCGTTTTCTCTTTTTATTTTTATTGTAAATTACGCTGACAGGACATCATAAAGTTTTCGATGAACATATTACATTGTCTGACAAGATAACTAATAAAGTATATATATAGTTTACAGATATTTTATACAAACATGTTACTATTCAGAAGAACTGAATTGAATTTACTTAAAAGCAATACTCATATTCTTATCACATGTTATTTTTAAAATACTATGGGATTAAATTGAACACTGGTGAAAGGCTTCATATTTGTAAAATTTTTAAGTACTGGTTGTAATAAATGCACTCATACCTTGCGAGCAATAATAATTATTGAGTAGATAATTGAAAGGATGAAAAAAAAAATCATATTTTTAGTATGTTGATACCATTGACTATACAATATAAATGAATGCGGCAGCTACATTTTGTGACTATAAGATCGTAGAGTTAAGCTCGTATTGATAAAATGTACCTTTTTTTCCAAGAGTTGCAAAATAACCTCAACTTATAGGCTGTTTTGTGATCCATAATTTTATCTGCACGTGAATGCTATTCCTTGGGCCCAAAACAAATCTAAACATTCTGTCAGTACTCAATCTTGGGATTTCAAATTGGGTTTCAAATTTATTTTTCAAGTATTGCAATATTAAGCGGGTTATATAATGTATATAGATAAATGTGAAATATAACACCATGTCACATATTTGATGATATATTATGTGAATCATATTTACTTCTGATTACTAATGAGTTTGCTCTCTCTGAGTTAAGTAATTCATAAGTTCTCAAATAAAATTGAATATAGCTATCTGAATTTCTGATTTCATAAACGATATTTTAAAGTATTTTTACACAAATAATGTAATTTTTTACAATACACTAAAAAAATGAAAACGTGTAGACAGCAATTATAAAATTGAAATTAAGAATAATTCACAATGGCAACACTTTACATGCCATTCATTTTTTTGCTTTTCATTTAATAAGAATCAAAATAATTATTGTGCATTCAATATTGTTTTGGCAATTATTTACGGATCTGATGCAATTTTAGAAATTTATAATAATTTATTTTACATATATAGCAACCCAAACGAGTATTAACCACATTTACCAATTTACTATACCTCAGGAACAAGAAAACTTCTGCAACTCTTATACGAATAATTTTCTTTCTTCTAGCTATTTGAATTTTCTAAATTTTCATTCTATTCCGCTATCAAAAATTATTTTGGAAAGTTTATTCTCGAATTTTCATATTTTTTTTTGATTTTTCGTTAAAATAATTCTTGTAAAGAAAAGTCAAAATTTTTACTCTTTTCCGATGTTTTTTTGTTAAAACAAAGATTATATAAGAGGAAAACGCAGTAAAAACTAAAAAATGAAAATTTTGACAACAAAATATCTTTTAGATTTATAAAACAAGAAGAACAAAGAAGAAAATATGAAAATATCATCTCTTCTATCTCTTTCATATATTATATAGGTACATAATATCATATATTATTATTATTTCTATCTCTTTCTGTTATACTTATAATACTGTTATAAATTGTATTCAAGCGGGAAAACTTCTCAAAAACAATCGCTGTAATTTTCATATATTTAAAAATTAAATATTTTTTTCTTATAATATGAAAATTATAATTTTACGCTTTATTTTCTTATATATTTATATACGTATATGACAGTTATTATTATATGATTTTAATGTTTTTGTTTTATGGTGGCAGATGGCACCCTACGGCAAATCTGTAATGTTATTGTTTTTCCTCTTTGCTTTTTTCTCTTTCTTATAGTTTTTTCCCGTTTTACTTTTTATTTTTTTTTTCATATTTATTTCTTCTATCATAAATTATTATGTGTGTAACAAGAAAAAATGTTAAATTGTATGAAGAAGAGGAACAAAAAAACAAAATGAAGAAAATCATAAAGAAAACAAACAAAAAAATCATGTTTAATATAATATGCAAATTTTTAAGAAATTGTAAGTGAACAATATTTTTTGTTTTTCTGTTATTTTAATATTTTTAGAATATTTTTTAATTATATGTGAAAAAATATACATTATTTTTAAAATATTTTGAGTATTTAGCAATAAAATAATAATTGTCTGTCTATCTGTTAACATTTTTGGTATTACTTTAAAATTTTAAAATATTAATGATCAATGTTAATATTAACAGATTTCAATGCTAAAACCTAACAAATAGAAGAATAGATTTTAAATTGAGATGAAAATAATTAAAAGAGTAAAAAATATTACAAAATAATTACTCATAAAATTTTTTATCTCATTTGTTTCTCTTAATGAAATTTATATTTTAATTTATATAAAAGAATGCGCGGCTATAATCTACTAACTAACACTTATTGCGCTAAAGTAAATGTGATAGTAGACAATAACTATTTGCATTAAAGTGAATGTGGTAGTAGGCATTTAATGTAACGCAGTGAGTGCGGTAGATAGCAATCTACTGTGCAACAGTGAATGTGGTAGATATCATTCATTATTATTATTTTAATTCTGCTTAATTAATTAAATTAAAAATTAATCCTATTAATAATATAAAATTGCGAATACTATATACTAATATATTGCCAGAAATGGTTCATTATTCAACTGTATAACAATATTTAGAAATTAGATTTAAATTGGAAATTATTTTTAAAATAAAAATAAAATTTATTCTGACTTGTCTATTATTTTAGTATTTTAGTTTTAAATTTATTTCAATGTTAAGAATACAATTTTGCAATTGCATGGAAAATATTATCAAATAATTTTTCTATTCATATTATTGCTTCAAATAATTTCTACACAAATTTTAAATATGGCAGCTGGTTTTCAACCACATTTCTGCAATGAACAAAATTAAATAAGGTAAGAATTTTCAATATTTATATTATAGTTATTTAATTAATTATTCGAGAATCACAAATTCAACGTAGTAGCCATATACATGGGTATATTGCAAATCAATTGTAATTTTTCATAAAATGTCTGTTCCAGAGACTCCACCTAAATTTGACCACTAACTTGATTTCTTTTTACCATTATAAAAACCAGTTAAAATCTAAGTACACATAGTTGAGATATAAAGTATGAGGTCAAAAGTTTTATATACGAAAATTTTTACAAAAAGGAAATAAAATTTTTTTTTCTTATTTTAAAAAGTACGCGTTCATTGCTTATTTTCTTCTTTCTTATTTTGGTTTCACATTTCTTGAAGGTAATAAGATTTTTGTATTTTTCTTTTTTCTCTCTTTTTATTGTTCAATGTTCAACATTCTTTGAATTTTCTTGTTATGTTGGTAAAAGGCGAGTAAATAAATTTCAAAAATCTCATATTATTTTTTTTTTTTTTTTTGTATTCCTGTGTTCTCTTCTTTTTTTATAATATATATTTTTTTTTTAAAGTTTAAAGTGGGTTTTCTCATATTTTTCTTTTTTGTTTTTTTGTTAAATTTCCTAAGGATAAAAAAAAAATATAACGGTAAATTGAAAAATTTTTATTTATGTTGGTAATTTTATGTTGTTTTTCATTTTTTTAAGGTTTTCTTTTTTATTTCCTTATCCTTGTTTTCTTATTTTTGTTGTTGTTTTATAATAATAATATAAGAGTTTTGATTAATATTCAAGTGGAGGTTGCACCTCTTTTTCATAAATATTTTATTATATATAATACTGTATGTATAGATGTAATATGTATGTATGTATTGAAAATATTTATAAATAAAATTAATGACATTTTCCAAGTAAAAAAATAATAATTTTCAAAAATACGAAAGAAGAAAAAGAAAAATAAATATTAAATTTTAATAAATGACTTTCTAAAAAGTTTTAAATTGTCATAAATTAAAAAAAAAGAGGAAACCAATCATAAATATTATAATAACAAAACAATTATTGTTATATAATGTATTAAGATTAACGAAAACATTAAAACTTAATTTCTATTTATTTAAATTTCAATTTATTTTTTAAAATTTTGTTCACTTTTTAGATATTTGCTTCTAATATGAAATAATTGAATATACAAAATATACTTAAAACATTCTAGTTTACAAAAAATTTAAAATTTCAAGTAATACAAGAGAAAATCCGTTTTGTCTACTCCTATTATTAGGGTAGCCATTAAACTCCGTGAAAATTTGCAAAAAAAAAATAATGATTGTTTCAATCCAAATCCAAACTTCTTCATCAATTTTATCTGTTGAACAATATTATATATGATTCTTTACAATTCTAAAATAAAATTCAAATCTTCAATACAAAAGGATGCAACTTGTAACTGTTCAGTCATTAACATTTCAACAAAATTCTATCATAATGTTTGAATTTAACAATTGAATTTCTATTAAAATTTTCATTTCAAATCTAAACAATAATATTACACAATTTAATTTAGTATAACCCAAAGCTCATTAAAATTTTTTTAAATTTTTTTTAATTCTGAAAAATGAAATATTCATTGATTAAAGAGAAATAGAAAAATAACAGCTTGATCCTTTTGTCAAACACATTAACACATGTATTTTAGTTTGTTTTAATAACTTTTCTAATTAAAGTCTGCAATAAAAAGAATACACCCCGATGAACAGAATTAAATACACAAAATTTCCTAAACTTCATTATCTAGGTAAAAATGAAACCAGGA